ACCTTTTTCAAGTGTCTTGAACTCCACCTGCTCTATTCCCAAATGTTTCATTGTTGAAGATGTGAAGATGGCTTGCAAAAACACTTGGCTAGATTTCTACCAAAGCCTTCCCAGGGGCCTTGTTGTGTCCTGCTAAAGAATACCCTACACTACCTTCTTGATCAACATGAAAGGGTTAGAAATGCTCTTGACTTTGTACCTCCTATTTAAATTAAAATTCCTTCTGGAGGATATCTAATTTCTGAACAAAGCTAAATAGGTAGATCTTCCCTCTTTCTGTTATGTATGACCTTATCTTCAAACTATCTTAGCTAAGTTATCATCCCATGTATTCCTGAAGGCTGTCACATGATAACATTCAAAAGCCTCTGAAGTAGGTTTATGATTTTAGGAGCAACCTAAAAACTTAATTTTTTGAACAGTTCTTATTGTGGGGTGCTTCTTACAATTCATGCATAGAGAAGTTTGTCAATTAATATTTTAATTTCCTGGTCAATAATTCCTCAATCATGAATTAAATAAAGGAAAGGTTTTCCTATTAGGAAAAGAACTGCTATTATATACCAGTATAAATTAAAATGATCAATCCCAATTTTCTTAGAAAGGTCTTTCTTTACTGGATTACTATGTTTCACATTATCTACTACAGCAGAATAGCTTTTGAATTATTCTTGTCTTTTATCAGAGAGCCCTCTACTGACCCAAAATGTGTTCTGTGAGAGGCAATGTTTTATTAAATTGTCTGTTAAAACATATAAATATATCCTGATCAGCTAAGCTAGCTTTGCAAATCAAAAGTAATAATCATATATTTTTTTAAAAAAATAATGCTATTTAATCATACTGTTTTTTTAAAAAAACAATTGAAATCAAAGGACTGTACAATGTTATAAATAGATTGTCAGAAATGCATTTTCTTCAGTGCTAACTAAAAGTCCCTCCACATTTTTTTTTCTGTTATTGATTTAGCTATATATTTTCCTTGTTTGTCCTTTACAATATAACCACATCTAATTAGTGTGCAGGTGTCCCATTAATCTTTTATTCTTGTCTTCTACTCACTTGGCTGGGTGTAATTCCATATGATTACTGAAAAACAAGAAAAATACAGCCTGGAGTTAGAATGATGACATAGCAGAGAATAACGAAATTTAAATAAATAAAAAAGAATAATCAACTGGCAATAGATTCTCTATCTGCAACATGCTTACCCTATGAACACATGAAGGAAATAAATGAGATAGTCACCTGTTCTAAAGGGAAAATGATTTTACTGATTCATTTATTATTTCTTATATTCAGCCATTCTTATATATAACCATTGTGAATGGGCATTTTATCATTCAGAAGATATGTCTAAACATATTTCAAAAGGCTAGCTTTGGAACCTATAAATGAGAAAACAGTGGTCTTTGCTACATTATGTAGATGTTATGTAAGTTGTTGCAGTTATTATTCACCTTACCCAAAATAAATGCTCTAAGTATATTTAATATGTGAGTGAAAAAAGGTCACTAATTTGAAGTATAAAGCCCGTCTTTGTCTAGCTTTTATTTCATTATTAAGCACATGCCTTGTCTTTCATTCAGGAAGTCAAGAAAGCTTATATAACACTCTTTCTTTCAGTTTTACCCATAACCATCTGTGGGAAAAGATAGATTGAATGAAATTGACTTATTCTGTTGAGTATGGATTAAACTTGGGTCTCTTTGATTCTGCTCCAAAACATAATCTACTAGACCATGATGACTTTTGTCCGGATTAGCCTAACCATAAACTGATATGTATCATGGTTTAAGATCATGGCCTTGTTAATTTATTATGTAAAAGCAATGGCTGGAATCTCAGGACAACCTTTAAGAAACTTTTCAACAACCTTGTAAATTATATTAAATGATGTATGAAAATTCAGTCAGATTATAGTATTCTACTCTGCAGTCTCTCTCCAAAACCCTTATCCTCAGAAATTCCTTCCCTTAGATGAGTCTCTAATGTTTTTTGCCTCTGTACTCTGCGGGTGTGTCTTGCCCTACATTTATTCTGTTTTTTTAAAGACTTCTTCAGATATTTTTAAATCTGTCCTTTCCAGACAACTTTGCTATCCCATATTGTTTCAGATGCATCTGTTCAGGTTATTAAAAAAAAATAGTCCTTTGTTAAGATCAGATAATGCCGAGTTATTTGCAAAAGTGAATCTTCTAAAGATAGTTCTTTATCAGTTTATGTAAAACAAAGGAATGTGAAACATCTCATGAGTTTTAGTTTATTTTCCCCTGGCAATGAGGTGAATATGTGAGAAAGTGTGTATGCATGAAATATATTTAATGTTACCTTAAGATAAAAAAGAATACATTCTACGCTTCACTCCCTGACTTTCTTCTCTTTTTTTATTTATTCTTTTATGGCTTTTAAAATAATGACAGAGAAATGCGGGGGAAAGCTAACAAAGATTAAAAAATACATTGTGGGGAAAAAAGAAAAGAAAAAAATAGCTCTGACTTTTTTAAAAAAGTAAAAAAATACACTAAAGGAAAAGGATATATCATTCTGGCTGCAAATAGTTACAATTCTATATATAGGTACAGATAAACCAGTATATTATACATTTTATTTTCATTTCTATCTTTTCTCCTCTCTGTATCTATAAGTAATAGTAAAAGGGAAAAACAACTCTGGAAGCATTAATGAAATATTAAGTCAATTGATAGAGCATACTACTTTTCCAAAATCAACTCTTAGTAAAATAATAAAAGTAAGCAATTTTCTCCAACAAAAAAATGTTTTAGCTTATGCCTAAATGCCAATGGAGATTCTCAGTCATCCAGGTCATGGTTGTCCCCAAAGTGTTTCTTCAAAAGGCAATTGGACTTTCTTCATTTTTCTTCGAAGATGTTTTGCTTGTCAACCAAAAGCTTCTTCAGAACTGAACTGAAGAAGGTTCTTGGATGAAAAGTAAAATGTCTTCCAGGAAAAAACATAGAAAGTCCAGTTGCCTTTTGAAAAAGTATCTTTGGGATACGTATCCCTAAATTTCATAAAGCCACTAGCATATGGATCAGGAAAACATGTTCCAAAAATAGAGTGCCATTGTTAAAAATACTTGATATTATGTCACTGCTTACCTATTTTCAATAGAATTTGCAAGAGGACATGTTCTCTTCTCTTCTCAATCTTTCCACATAAGCTGCATATTTTGAATCCTTGCTAATGAACAGTCAATGCGTCCCATTTCAAAAATCAAAATGACCTCATCTTTTACCTCCCATTCTCTCAATATCAAATGTTCCAAACCCAATCTTTCTACATATGGTCCAGCTAATAAGTAACAATCTCCACTGGTAACTTTAAAGTAGAGTTCTAGACTCTCTTAACCTGCTATCTATGCCAAGCTGTGTTGGTAGAAAATATCACTCAATAAATATCAACAACTGGAGAGAATTCAAACACTTGTTGAGTTTCCAAAGCAAGCTCACAATGAATCACTGACCTCCAGTAACTGGAACAAGTCAAGACCAAGTGCCTCAGTGTGACATACACTAGATCTTGTACAGAATGTTAATCAAAGACAGTTGAAACAAGCACACATATAGCAAGATTCCAAAAGAATTACAAACCATACAACTACAAGAGAGGAGGAATAGGTATCCTTTCAAATATGATGCAAACTATAGTTGTATCACATTTGAAATTCTCAAATACAGGAATTTTGATGTGTAGGAAATGCTGAGCATTTAATTGTTATCCTAACACAATAACCTTGAATTAGCTGAGGAAAGAGTAAAAGAGATAAGAAGGTAACCACCTTTTTGAGTCTGATATTTCTCCCAAAGGACACTCATTTTCTTTAAAAGAATGCAGAATAATTAACAAGATATCTATAAGCTAAGTATAGGGACATGGTGGCTCAGTGGCTAAGACGCTGAGCTTGTCGATCAGAAAGGTTGGAAGTTTGGCAGTTCAAATCCCTAGCACTGGATTCGGCCAACCTAGCAGTTCGAAAGCATGTAAAAATGCAAGTAGAAAAATAGGGACTACTTTGGAAGGAAGGTAACAGTGTTCCGTGCAGGGGTGGAATGCTACTGGTTCTGCCCGGCTCTATAGAACTGGTAGCTCTGAAGAGCAGCAGACACTGAATGTGTTTGCTGTTGTTTGGCCCACCCTCTCACCTGGGCTCTTACCTGTCCTTTATGTCCTGTTTTTTCAATCTCAGCTGCTTTGCATGGCACAGCTAAGGTTGAAAAAGCAGGAAAAAAGAGGCTTTTCAAATGCTATGCACGAGTGCGCAGCACTTTTCAGCTGTCTGGATGGCACAGCTTAATTGCTTTTTTACACATGCGTGCAGCAAAACATTACACTGAACTGGTAGTAACACCGGTTGAATCCCACCCCTGGTTCCATGTGCCTTCGTTGTTTAATCATGCCAGCCACACAACCACGGAAACATCTTCAGACAGTGCTGGATCTTCGGCTTTGTAAAGGAAATGAGCACCACCCCCTAGAGCCAGAAACAACTAGCACATATGAACGAGGGGAACCTTTACCTTATAAGCTAAGTAACCTACAGGGATTTAACAGCATTATAACACTGGTTGAAAAAAAAAATCTTGCACTATTGATCAACTGTTTCAGAATCTCATACAAACATATAATGCTTAAATAGTCCAGAAATTCTTTGTGCTGCTTGTTTGGGTGTCTGCATGGATGCAGGGACATTATGCTTCTCTCCCATTGAAATAAATGGTCCCTTTGTACTCTCAGCTGTTCCCTTCATTTGAAAAGTAAAGCTGTGCAGGCCATTTAATCTGATCTTCAAAACTACATTGCTATTCCAGGTGAGGCATCCATCATTAAAGCTGAAGTGCTTATCTGCTAGTCCAGATGCCTTAATGGGAACGTCGCTTATTTAAGGGCTCAGTGTTTGGTGGAAAGTACCCAGTGGATTATGTTAGAACGCACCTGAGTGTCTGATTTTTCTTTCTTTCTTTTCTTTTTCTTTCCAGTTGACAGGAGAAGCAATTTTGCAAATTGCTAGCAAGCCAGTTCTGCCTTTTAATGCCCTGGATATTGCATTGGAAGTTCAGAAGAACCTGCAAGGTAATTTCTGCCGTGGTCTAAGGAATTTCAGCAAATGTAATGATTTCCCTCTGCTTGAGATGACAAGTTCCTGCTTTTCTCTGCTGTAAACAAACAATGCATGCCTATTTTATTAATCCCAATATTTTTTTTTTTTTTTTAGCTGTGTGTCAGTGCTTGTGCCTTAGCGGTAAATTAAGTATCATTTTTAGCAAACTTATTAGAAACGTAAATGGTTTATATAGACACAGTTAAGCAATAATTACTGTAAACATTTCAGAGAATGATAAATACAATTTTAAGGGCTGCAGGCAGGATTTTTTTGTTTTTTGTTTCCCCTCTGGTTCTATACAGGGAAGCCGGCAAATAGGAAGAAAAAGAAAATGAGGCATTGAACTCCATGGTTCTTGAAGGCTGTGTAATTTTCCCAGTTTGAAAACTGGCCATCTTGCTTATTTATTGCAGCAGGTCATATTGGTAGCGGATCATTCCAGCTTGCCTCTCTTCTCACAGCCACTAGGAAGCAGGATAATTTAATGCCAAATAATTTGCCCGACTTGATTTATCGTCTCCTTCTTGAAAGCTCTGTATTAGAAATGAATGACCTTGATCTGGGTATTAGGATGAGAGGGCGATAAAAATTGGAAGATCTTTTCCTCCTCAAGGAAACCAAACAGAGGCCCAAGGATAACACAACTGTTTTATTTATTTTATTTATTTATTTTTGTCAATTGCTTACAAGATAATAGGTATAAGTAAAAACTTAGTTATGAATACATGGATACATATAACAAAAATAAAAAAAATAAAAGAAACAATAGGACAGGGACGGTAGGCACATTGGTGCGCTTATGCACGCCCCCTACAGACCTCTTAGGAAAGGGGTGAAGTCAATAGTAGACAGTCTAAGGTTAAAGTTTTTGGGGTTTGGGGAAGAAATCACAGAGTCAGGTAGGGTATTCCAGACATTGACTACTCTGTTGCTGAAGTCGTATTTCCTACAATCAAGTTTGGTGCAGTTAACCTTGAGTTTGTATCTATTGTTTGCTCTTGTATTGTTATGGTTGAAGCTGAAGTATTCATTGACAGGTAGGACATTGCAATGTATGATTTTATATACCATACTTAAATCAGACCGAAGATGGCATAATTCAAGATTTTCTAGTTCTAGAATTTCAAGTCTGGTGGCATAAGGTATTCTACAACGAGTAGAGGAGTAGAGAACTCTTCTTGTGAAATATTTTTGGACTTTCTCAACTGTGTTAATATCAGATACGTAATGTGGGTTCCAGACTGATGAACTTGTGTGTGTGTGTGTGTGTGTGTGTGTGTGTGTGTGGTGTGTGTGCAGAGTGCTGGACTGGAGCTTTGGAAATAAATCCAAAATTCACACTGAGACCTACCAGTTCTGTGACAAAAATCCAGTTGGCTACTAGATGGAAGTCGTGAGAGTATTTTTGCCGCTGCCATCTAGCAATTGTTCAGAGTTGGGCAAAGCAGATATTGTAAGCCTAATTTAACAATGTTCTTTCTGTGCCAACTTAGAAAGCTCAAACTGCCAAAGGAGCTGCTAATACAGTTCTACAGAGGAATTATTGAGTCTATCATCTGCACCTCTATAACTGTCTGGTTTGGTTTTGCAACCCAACAGGACAGACACAGACTCCAGAGAGTAATTAGGACTGCAGAAAAAAACAATTACTACCAACCTACCTTCCATCGAGGACCTGTATACTGCATGAGTCAAAAAGAGGGCTGTGAAAATACTTACAGACCCCTCACATCCTGGACATAAACTGTTTCAACTCTACTCTCAAAATGATGCTATAGAGCACCGCACACCAGAACTACTAGACACAAGGACAGTTTTTTCCCAAATGCCATCACTCTGCTAAACAAATAATTCTGTCAACACTGTCCAGTATTTACAAAGTCTGCACGACTATTACTATTAATCTTCTCATCACTCCTTATCATCCATCCACTCCCTCTTGTGACTGTATGACTGTATGACTTTGTCGCTTTTAGTCTTATTATTTATGCTGACTGTTTCCTAGTAGCAGGGGTGGGATTCTACCAGTTCGCATCCATTCGCTAGAACCGGTTGTTAACATTCTAAGCAGTTCAGAGAACTGGTTGTTAGAAGAAATTCCTGGCCTAATCCTGTAAGGAAGGCAGGAAGGAAACATTCTGGTGTTGCCTACAGAAACTGCCTCTCCATTAACCCTTATTACATTCTTGGCAGGACTAGATTTCCTTTCTCAAGAACTTCTCTGGAGTTTTTTTCCCCCCTCCTTTACTGGTACTTTGCTTGTGTGAAGTGACCATTCAAAGTTACAATGGCACTGAAAAAAGTGACTTATGACCATTTTTCACACTTACGACTGTTGCAGCATCCCCACAGTCATGAGAGGCCAGGCGAGGAGATTCGTGCCTCGATGTGAGTGATATTGCGTTGGCCACACCCAGCCAATAATATGACCACCAAGTTATGTCCACCCAGTCACATGACCACCAAGCCACACCTACCACCTAAGCCATGCCCATAGAACTGGTTGTTAAAAATTTGAATCCCACCCCTGCCTAATATGATTTGATTGCTTATTGAACCCTATGACTATCATTAAGTGTTGTACCTTATGATTCTTGACTCTTGATGAATGTATCTTTTCTTTTATGTACATTGAGAGTATTTGCACCAAGACAAATTCCTTGTGTGTTCAATCACGCTTGTCCAATAAAGAATTCTATTCTATTCTATTCTATTCTATTCTATTCTATTCTATTCTAT